TATGAAAATGCAGTCAGGATTTTGTGGTAGAGTCATTAGGGGCAATAGCACTTCTCTGAATAGTAACGTATTACCTACACAAGACACTAAAATATGTTCTATACCGCCTCACTGCTTGATTACTTAATAGACAATGAACTCTTTACCTGGCACTGTACGTACAGTCCCTTGTGGATGGCGAGCAGTATGCATGGCTAGCTTTTCCCAGGAACAGAGGACAGCTTGCTTTTTTTCAGTTTCTGTTTATTTTGCAGCAACTGAAGTCTTTCCAAATAGCAGTTAATGAGAGTTTCAGAGACACTGGACTGTCTTGGAAGAGCTGTACAATTCCACAGGCCACTGAATCTCTATTCCAAACATGCAAGTAAGTGCATGTTACAGTGTTTGAGGGGTGCCAACCACATTCAAAAAGACCCAGGCAGCACCTTCCCACACAGAGTCAGAGGCACACAACTGTGAGAGTCTTCTCACAGTCCGGGCTTTTAGGCACAGGGAATTTTTCTTTTGGAAGTGGTTATCTGTTAATCCAAAAATATATCTTTCTCTTGAAAGATTTGCTTTATGAACCAAAAAAGAAACACTGATCTAAATATCAACTGTGTACTTTTTACAAATAATCTGCTTCTTGTATAAGATACTTTTCTCCCAAATTTATCATTAATTTACTTTATGACTTTGGGCTACTCATTGATTCATCTGGGCCTCAGTATATCTATGATAAAAAGAAATTAAAATGATACAAAACAAAACCACAAAACAAAAATGGGATCGTGTAATCTGTAGGATTACTTCTGTTTCAAAGAAGTGTGGTTCTATAGTGTAACTGACATCCAATAAGAATTTTATTAGCTGTAACTATCTAAGAAAGGCCTTTCATCAAATAGAACAAGGACAGGAGAAACAGACACTAAATGGAGTAGCAGGGGCAGAGGAAGACTAACAGACTTGGAAGTTTCAGAGGAGTGAAAATAATGGCTTAAATTTTAGATGGTTGAGTACTAACTTTATTCTACCATTTAAAAGCTTTGTGACACTGGGTGAGTTGCTTGACCAGGGACAGATTCATAGACATATGGCTTGTGTAGTCACATAAGATTTTGCACTTACAAGGGCACTGTACTGGGTTTAATATTCTGCTGTCACTGTCTTGAAATTCTCAACAATTTTTGAATAAGGAGCCATGCGTTTTAACTTTTCACTGGGTCCCACCATTATTTAGGACGTCTTGAGCTTAACCTTTCTGAAACTTGGCCTCTCTATCTCTAAAATGTAAATAGTAATACTTGTTCCAGGTCATAGTAAAAAAAGTAAGAGAGATACTTATGAAAGTTCCCAACAAACTCAGTACATGACGCATTTGCCAAATAAAGTAATTTCTGTTCTCTACTTTGACTCATTTCTAGACCCAAATCTAACTGTTCTTTAAAAGGATACGTAAGACTCGTTTTTGTTTTTTTTTTTTTAATTCTTTGTTTTCATAGACTGGTGCAGTCCAAATGTGGAAGCATAAAACAATCTTGAACAAAAGCTGTTTGGGGCCAGCTCCGAAATATTAAACACAATAAAATCTGTCTATGTTTATAGTTAGCCCTGGGGCTTCACATGGACTGATATTCTGATAAGGCTTTTGAGAATTTCAACCGTGCTCTGCATTTCAAACCATGCAATGTGCCCCCTGCCTGGTAATTAACATTGAGCTTCACCCCTTGCAAGTCTTTTCTAGACAAGCCCTTAAAAGGCCAATATCTTACTTCAATAAATCTTCTTAAGTTATGGGGAAAATGTGAGTTGTTACTATGGAGAAGTTACATCATTATCTCTCTTGAACTCTCCATTCTTAACACATAATTAATTTCTAAAGAATACGAGATCTTCAATTTTAGAAGAAGTCCTCTCTCTTCACCTCCTGCCTCCTG